TCTAGGGACTTCACCAATTGTACTGCAGGTCTCTCTTCTTCAGGTAGGACAGTTAATTGTCTTTTTAACCCTGAATATTTTGATAAGCTGGAATTATCGTTCAGAGTTTGAAACAATATTAAGAAATAACCCCAATCATATTTAAATGGACACCTTCACCAAAGCAAGATAAACGTTATTTATATCAGTATTTGTACACTTTAAACAATTCCTATTAAAGTCTTGTGAAAGAAGCCCTGGTGGCACTGTGACTTAGGTCTTGGGGTGCTAACTGCAGGTCAGCTGTTCAAACCCACTGGCTGCTTCTTGGGGAAAAGATGAGGCTGTCTGCTCCCACAAGATGTACCATCTTTATCATTGTGAGTCCAAATTGATTGGGTGGCGGTGGGTTTGGTTTGGGTAGCTTTAAGTCTTGCAGCACTACTGTTAAATTATTCCTCCTTATTTTGCATAAGTAACAATGGAAGGACAAAGAGGCCAATTCACAAACAAGTTAAGGAGGGGGTAGAATAAAAAACTTCTGACATCCATTACTTAGCTCTCTCTAGTTCTGTCACATGGCTTCTATTTTTGTATTTTGCTGTTGTGTAGAATGTATATTGGTTGTTGGACTTCTTTCTCTTCTTTTTTAAAATAAAGACTTCGACTTGGTGACTAAGCTTCCCAGGTTTGAACCTGTTTCAAAAATTAGTGCTGAGTAATGTAAAATGTCATGGAAGTATTTACTATATTCACTATGATAATAAATAAAATTTTTGTAATTTTAATACCAAATCTCTCGTGGTCTCCATGTTGATATACAAGCATAATTAATTGTAAAAATTTGACATTTAATGGAGCTTGAATCAATCAGGCAATGTAAGGTCATTTTCTTCTAATATAAATTTCCTTAAATATATGAGGTTTTGTTCATGTAGTTTAATTAGTGTTTACTTTAATGATGGACTATGTCAAAGGGTGAGGAATTGCTATGCAAGCCATGTCTGATACGCTTTTGCTTCACTAAAGGGAACTATAATCAACACCACACCTGCCCAAGATGATTCCCCGAGGCAGTGCTTAGATATGCTACCACCCTCCAAGCTCCTTCCCTATTCTGCCACCAACTCTCCCTCCCTTCTCTGCTGGACTTGATCCATCCATTGCAGCTAGGTCTAGCCAGAATTCATGGGCAATCCTCAGGATTATAGAGATTTACAAGGGAGATTGACAGATTACAAGTTAGGATCAGAAATGTTCCGCATATGGTTCTTTTGTCTGCAGTGCCTCTTCTCAGCCATGCCAGCAGGCACACCTCTCTCAGTTTGGCCTCCTAGCTCCTTGACCTCTGCCCTGCATGGGCAAGTGTTAACAAAACTCCATGAACGCTGACAGATGCCTGATGGCGTCCCATTCTGCAAGTCATCCTTCTGCCAGAAGGCACTCCGCTTTACTGCTTCCCTGGGCCAAGAAGCCCACCCCTCTGTTTTATGCTCTCAATACTGCCCCTCTCTGCCATCTTTTCCCCACACAGCCACCTCTCCAGGAAGGCCACTTGGCTTTTCCTGCACGGTTGTGAAATTCCATTCTTCTTGCTTCTGAGAACTATCTCAGAATTCCCACTGCCTTCTCCCCACTTTAGAGTCCTGTATACCCTGTTTACCTGATCCTCCCTCGTCATTTGGTGGCAGTTACAAGGGCTATGAAGAGAAGAACCACACCAAGTAACTCACTGTGCCACAGAGGAAGCTTTAGAATGTTTTGGTGAAAAATGTGTCGTTTTATAGAACTATATACAATAAAATAATACTAACAACTGGAACCTACAGCATTGGTTTTTCAGTAGTTTGTTTTTGAGGGCACAGACCATAGGAAAGCAAGCACAAGTTAAGAATTGCTTATGATTTGAATGTAGTTGTTGTT